GTTTTGGCCCACATTGGAGCTTAAGGCCCAAGTGCTTGAAGTTGAGATGGGACTGGGTGTTATGCAGGGATGTTTGAGTTTGCCTGACCTTTCGTATCGCCAGCAGCCACAAAGCGCTGACGTAAAACCTAGGACTTAGGCAGTTTGTTGCAGGACTTCCAGAGCCCAGAAACAGGGTTTAGGCTTTTCGCAGTTTCTGGCTAATCCCAAACCTATTCCCTGGAGATCCCTAGAAGCTGCCATAGAATAATAGCAAAGCTGCTCCCGAGAAGACCTGCTGACGGAGGCCTACTTGCTCATCACCCTGGGGAAGACCGATCCCAGCATCAAGCCGGGTCCTCACTACCTTAAGGACGAAATGAACCCTGAAAGGGTTTAAGGTTCATATACCATATAGGGATTCATAGTATATGCGTATAGGGCCCCCACTTTTAAGGGTCATTTGGTCCTTCAGGTAGGGTTCTGTCCCGAGCCCTCTATCGGTCCTATCGTCTCAGAAGGGTTCTAAACCCTAAATCCTTAAACCCTAAACCCTTAAACCCTAAACCCTTAAACCCTAAACCCTTAAACCCCTAAACCCTCAACCCTAAACCCTACAGGGATTCAGAAGAGTTCTGTGGGGTTTGGGGGCTTTGGGGGGGGGGCCTCAAATCCGGAAGTCTTGTGGGCTTATAGAGGTTTCTGGAAGCCCTTGCAGCAGCCTTCAACATCCCGAACCTTACCCTAAGCCCGGAGCGCCAGGTCGAATAATGGTGTAGTCGTCAGCAGTTTGTAAATTATTTCTCGCAGTAGTTTCAGGACCACTACAAATCTATGTTCTTGGTTTGTGTCGACTCGAAAGGAACACTCGAACCGACAGGCATGAGATCTGGTAGTTAGTCGCAGCCGCAGTAGCAGTGGCGGTGGTAGCACCAGTAGCAGGAGTTTCGTCCTCCTCGGAGTCGTCGAAGTCGAAGTAGTCGTCTTCGAAGTCATGAGATCTTTCCTAAACTCTCAACACTTCACTCCGAGCCAACGTCTGAAGTCTCAACCCGTAAACCTTACACCCCAGACGGAAAAGATTCTTCCAAAGACCTTGAACCCTGAATCCGAAGCCGCCGCAAGTAGCCCAGGGATTCAATAATTACCAGTACTATTTTAGGGACCTATACTTAAAGGATCATGGGACTTAGTAACTGGGGTTATAAATAAGGTAACTAGACTTATAAGCACTTAAAAGACCACTTAAGGTTCTTATAACCTGACTTACTAAGTCGCATGACTCCAAGTAACCTACCCCAAAGCCCTATTCTAAAGTATCGAGGCCCCTACATTTTCGCAGGTGGGACTCGGTGCTCGAAGGAGGAGACATGCCATCTGCTGCCGACACCATTGAAGTCCTTGGGGGCGATGAGGCCGGGGCCGTGATGTGGGGTGTGCGGGCGTGTAAGCTCGGTGTAGGTTTGAGGTTTCAGGGTTTAGGTGGATACGAAGGGTGTCAAGGATTGTGAAAAAGAGTTACAGAGGCTCTAACCCAGTCTTTGTGAGCAGCGGTTGAAGATTTTGTAACAATTACCTGACTAAGAGTATGTCAGCGTTGCTATGGACTTTTAGGCTTTGAGGTGTTAAAGTTTTGGGATCTGAAGGTTTTGTAACAATTACCTGACTAAGAGTATGTCAGCGTTGCTATGGACTTTTAGGCTTTGAGGTGTTAAAGTTTTGGGATCTTCTATGCAATCCTCCATCCACTACCGGAGCCGAAACATCGAATCTGCATGTTGCTTGGCCTAGACAGGGACTTTGCCGGAATGCGCTTTCACGTGGTGGTTTGGTGTTTATTTGATGCTGCCGTGTATCGCAAGCATACACACAGCCGGTATTCCGGCCGCTTCCGTGTCATGCAGCGAGTTCGGCAAATTTGGGACGGCCCCGACAAGTCTGTGGACTGTTCCTTGTAGGGATTTTAGGGTTTCGGGCTAGGGTTTGAAAGGCCTTATCTCAAGCCCTCACAAGGATAGGGCTCCTTTAGCGGACTCCTTTTAAGAGGTCCTTTGGGTTTAGAGACAGCGTCTTTTGGGTCTCCCCAAAACACATATGCCCAAGAGGTGAAAGAAGGGTTGCCGTAAGGGTTCCTTTGGAAAGGTTCCAAACGCATGACTCTACGGGTTACTAGGGTTTTCGCATGGGGGCTGGAACCATGAGACACATTGTTGTTTTGAGGTTCCCGCTTTGTGTCTAGTACAGTCCCAAGCCACGGTTCTAATTCCCACAGGCTCCATGTACCATTGTAGTAGGTACTTAAGCTTTAAAGGGGTTACTATATAGGTACTCTAAGGACTAAGTATATACTATAAGGGTACATTGAGCCTTAGGGATTATCATAAGGCTTTGGCAGTAGACTAGAACCCAGATGTAGGCAGAGTTGCATACGTGGGACGCAGGATCCGAATGCTGTCGTGTACCTGAAGGTGGCTCAGGTCTTCATACACCCTGAGTAACCTACCTTTTTAGGGTTCCCTATTGTGATTTCCCTATATAAGTCCTTAAAACGGTAGGTTCTTCAGGGTTAAGGTAAACCCTAAACCATCCCCGAACCCTATAAACCCTCAGGGTGTCCTTCGCCCTGGTTCAGGGTTTATCCCCACTTGCGATGGAACTCTCTGCTGGCTGCAAGAGGCCGCACAAGCAGTTGCGGGTGCGAAGCAGGCGACATGAAGGCAGGGACCTGGGGCCTCTTAGGGCTTAGGATTCGGGCTTTAGGGTTTAGGGTTTAGGGGGCTTAGGATTCGGGCTTTAGGGTTTAGGGTTTAGGGGGCTTAGGATTCGGGCTTTAGGGTCCATGGGTTTGGGCTGTGACTTCGAGCGTCTGCAATGTCGTGGTTGTACCATCGGCAGTTGTTAAAGCATTCGTTGCCATACGCAACATCTTGCGAATCTGCGTATCATGTTACATCGGAAAGGCGCCACCTTCTTATGATTACACTCGCCGTACCCGTCGTCTTAGCAGAAGTCATGACCTGCAAACACGTTCTAGTTCACTAATCCAGGCCCCTGTATCAGCGGTTCCCCTGGGCTTTTGAACAGAAGCCAGCGACTTCTGTGAGGCTCAACCAGCCGGCGAAGCATTTCTCCACGACCTGGCGGGTCGGTGTTGATGGCGTCCACGACATCACAGAGCTCTAGGGATCAGAGTTTCGGGCAGGGCTCCGTGTCGTGCTTGTCTCATGTGTGATGTGATCTCATGTTCCATGCGTAGTACCTTGGGCAGTCACCTGCAGTCCAAACACTGTTGACGATAATGGGCTTGAGGATGGCGTTATCCTGGTAGTGGCCCTAGAAGAATGCTTCATATTCAAGATCAACTGCTGTGGATGTCGCAAAGACCTTACAAGTGAAGCAGCTTCGTGGAGAAAAAGTCCGCTGCGGTGCATGCCCTGAACATTCCGTTCCGACCGGAAACAGGTGAACCCCTAACCAAGACTTGCGAAACATTGCCAAGCAAGCCCCTTAACCCTCCGATGCCCCGTAACATCTGAAGCCGTTCCGCAGCTGTCAACAGTCCAGGCCCGCGACTTCGGTTTTTGACGTGTTGAAGCAACGACTTTGTGATGCAACCTCGAGTGACGTAGCAGGAGGCCCCAACAGCTTTAAGCCCTCAACTAAACCCTACACCCAAAAACCTGAACCCAAAGCACAAGACCCAAAACCCTAATAGCCCTGGAAGCCCCAAAAGCCCTAGACCTTACCCAGAGGCTCCATAGTAGTTCCTTTTTAGGATTACCTTATAGGATTCTGAATATGAACCCCAAAAAGGAACAACGATGGAGCCTCTAGATAAGCCCATAGAGCGAAAGCTAAGCACCCTAGAGCCTGCAAGCCTTAAGCACCAAATGGGTAGTTGTCAAAATTATGGCCCCTTCTTGGGTACGGTAAATATTCGGTGCCGTACTATATTAGGGACCAAAAAGGGGACCATAATTTTGACAACCACCCAAATGCCCTAGACTCTAAAACTCAGCCCAAATTCAGGCTCAGAAAGCCTGGAACTCCCCCCAAAACGTATGCGGGCTTTGGTTTACGGTTTAAGGTCCGCAGCAGATCTAATTTCTCCCAACAACTAATCAAAGGATTTCGGTCAGTTCAGTACACAGGATATATCCGTATACCTCGAATCCCAAGAAATTCTAGACCTGCCAACCGCGCAGCCGTAATTCTTCGAATTTTGGAGACCCGGCTTCTTGTTATCAGGCCCCAGGGACTACAAACCCTAAGCCCTACCTAGAAACCCTACCTACAGTCTCCATTGTAGTTCCTTTTTCTGTATAACCAATCTTATGGTTTGGATCCTATGATAGAGATTTGGTTAATCCAAAAAAGGAACTACCATGGAGACTACAGGTAAGCCCTAAACTTAAGTGGGCTTATAAGTGCTTATAGGTATAGTTACCTTATTTATAACCCCAGTTTCTAAGTCCCATGACCCTTACTTTAAGTACCTAGAAACCCTAAACTTGCCCTAAACTCTAAACTCTAAACTCTGATGCTTCTTGGGGACCCCGGGAAAAGCCACGCATTTCGGAGACGCCACCAAAGAGACAAGGGCTCGAATCGAGTACAGCTAGGAGCCTTCTCGTCTAAGATAATGCAGGCAGGCTTAAGAATCTACCCTAAGGCCCCATAGTAGTTCCTTTTTGGGGGTTCATATATAGAATCCTATAAGGTAATCCCAGAAAGGAACTACTTTGGGGCCTATGGGTAGTTCTGTTCAGGGGGTTTAGGGTTTAGGGTCTAGTCGTAGGCCCTGGTCCTCCTCCAAAAACAAGTCAACAGAATCATCGTTTCCATTGTTCGCCTTCGACGATTCGATATCGCCCCTTAAGTGTCCGACCACTCCTGCGAAATGGGATATCCTTCACGGCCAGAAGACATGTAGTTTGATCACTTGATCACTTAAACCCCTCATTTGGCTTGGTGCTGTAGCCCTTAACCCTCATGCCGAAACCCTCACAGCTACGCTGGAGGCATGCACTGGTGCATTGCGCTTGCGGCGATGTCGAACGCAACGATGCGCGGAGAGGGCCTGAGAGAAACTCTGGGGCTTTGATTGGGACGTGTAAAGTTCAAATTTTATCGCGCTTCGGCTTAGCGAACCCCAAATTCTATAGGGCTTAAGCTTGGGGTTTTGTGTTAGCGTTTGCGGCTTCTGGGATCCGAATTCGAAGATGGGGTGCCGCTACGGCTACGATCCCTATGAGGTTTTCATCCTTCAGAGATGGATCTTTAGTCGTTTGTTTCTTCTAGCTACGAGTTTGAGGAAGGGCCCCTCGTCGTGTAAGCTTGCCTGGAGCTTCGACAGCATCTGGTAGAAGTTTCAAGAGGCTTCCGATTGTCCGCATGATGTTGAGCCACATGTCGCAGGGCCACCGCTGCAACTCATTCTGCCAGAGTCCCTCTTGTTGTAAGCTTTGAGCTCTGCAAGCATAAACCCTGGAGGCCAAAGAGTAGTCGGTCCTGAGTCCTGAACTATATAGGATGCTTATTTGAGAGATTCCCAAAGTGGGAGCCATAATCTGACCAAAACCGACCTTTGCATTTCTTGAAGCAGATTGCCATTCTCAGGCACGGCGGGATGGGCGGTGTACGCTCCTATTCCTGGATCCCTGCAGGCACCTGCATGCCCTCCACATAAACCTCCTTCCGAAGAGAAAATTCAGAGACCTCATCACTTATCACCACCTGGGATCTTGGGGCTTTGCAGTTAGGCTTTCCCTGAAGTCGCAAGCAGTGGTTTATGATATTTGGCAACCACAATCCCATCAAGTCTGAGAGCCTGAACCCAAAGGCTGCAATCCTACAAGGGAGTTTCAGATGACAAAGACAACAAGGAGTCTACACCCCCCTCTTTCCTCCCCCCGTGCAAAAACAACACACACACTCCTTGAACACCTAAACCCTAAACCCCGCACTCCTCCCCTTCAAAAACCCTAAGGCGGTTCATGCACCCATATACTAGATACTTTGGCCCCTGAGTACCTATGTAGAGACCACGTTAAGTCGCGTGTACTATATGGGTACATGGACCCTTAGGGATAAAGACAACACTCAATCCTTGAAAACCTAAACCCGAAACCCTAAACCCTAAAACCCTAAAGCCTACTCTCACCAAGACAACCTAAACCCCAAACCCTAAACCCCCCCCCCCCCCCCCCCCAAACCCTAAAACACTATAAACCCTGACCCCCGATCCTTGCCAGGGCCGACCTCGCCGAGCGCCTGGAAGATCGAAGTTGTACCGTCGAACACCGAGGCTTCCTCCCAGAAAAGGGGGCCTAGGGCTTTAGGGTTTTAAGGGTTTAGGGCCTGAAGGGCTTTTGGGTTTAGGGGTTTAGGGGTTTAGGCTTTTGGGTTTTGGGGTTTAGGGTTTAGGGTAGTTCAGGCTCCAGGCTTACGGTTTTAAGCTTCGCAGGGCTTTGCAGTTGCTCTTTCTGTTCAAAGGCGTTCGGCTCTTCAGTGTCGTTTCTTTTGTTGTCTTTCGGCATTTCTGGTGGGATTTTAGGCAGAAGAGCCACCCAATTTTTGGGAATTCCGGGGCTTCATCGGGCTTTGCAGTGTCATCTACCACTAGTCTCCATTGTAATTCTTTTCTGGGTGTTACCTTATCGGATCCTAAACATGTAATTGTTTAACAAAAACTGAACTACAATGGAGACTAGAGGTAGGTCTTTAAAAGCCAGTAAAGGGAACTCAAAGATGCTCCACTTTTCCGGAACCTCGGGTCCGGCCCAAGAACGTTTTGGGCTGCACAGGGCTTTGTAGTCCACTAAACTCTGAAACCTAGACCTGAAGGACAAAATGACCATGAAAAGTAGGGGCCCTATGCCCATATGCTATGAATCCCTATATTTATATGGTATAGGAACCTTCAACCTTTTTAGGGTTCATTTCGTCCTTAAGGTAAGCCTTAAATCCTGAACTTTCCAAGGCTTCGTAGTTTCTAAGCCATTTACAGGTGGGTAGTTATTAGGTGGGTAGTTTCCCATAAGCCTCCCATACCACTCCTATAAGGTAAAGGGGGTCTTATGGGAGTACTATGGAAGAGGAACTACCTACCTGTAAGGGGCTTCTATAGTTTTAACCTGGCTCATGCTGCAGTCCAGCTCTTGGCCTGTCTTGAACCGGGCTGTTCTTCAGGAACCTAACTTACATCACAAAAATACCCAGAGGCCCCATAGTAGTTCCTTTTTGGGATTACCTTACAGGAATCTATATACGAACTCCAGAAAGGAACTACTTTGGGGCCTTTGGGTAGGGATGTGTGGTGAATGGCAGGGTTTCCTTGTTAGTGTAACTTAGGTTACTTAGTTTCCTGATCAAGAACACAGTTTAGCTTTTGTCAGGGTCCTTACTAAGCCCACAAGCTTGCAACCTCAAGCCCAACTCGCCAATTAGCCCTAAACTAGACTCGAAACTCTGGTACGTAAACCTGTAACTCTGGCACCTCTCCCTAGACATCAAATTGTGGAGTTGAAGCCTGGACCTCCAAAGCTCCCAAGAAGGCAGAAGCTAAGCCCTGCAGAAAGCCTAAACTCATCTCATAAGTGGTAGACGGAATGAGAATTTTGATCTTACTGTATCTGTCATTCGATTGCTGTATGATATTTTATGGAACACAACGCTGCAAACTCATCCTGAAACTCGTGCGGCCAGGTGCTGATGAAGCCGTTCCCGAGGCCAGGATCTTTGATCATTGGTCCAGAATCATTGGTTTTTGAGAGGAAAACCCTTAACTAAACCGTAACTAAACCACGCCCCCCCCCAAGATTAAACTTAACATCCTACACCCTCAACCCTTCACCCAAAATCTTACCAAACCGACCCTCTATGCCCAGCAACCCACTGGCCTGCAACTCGCCGACTGACCCAAAGCAGGAGCATGATTGGGTTTGACGCCTCGAACTTCGTTTTCGCAGTTCGGGTTTTGTTGAGAGCGTCAGGGTTCAGAGCTTCTTATCTAGTGCTGTACGGTTTATGGTTTAGGGGGGCTCGAGTTTAATGTTCAATGTTTAAGGTTAGGTTGTGGGGCTTCGTGACTTACCTGGGGCTGGAATTTGTCTAGCTGTTATCCTTGGGTCGTGACCATTGTGTCTTCGATACTTGGGGCTGCAGGTAGCGCTTGGGGTCTAGATACATCCCTAAACCCTGAAACCCATATAAGCCTCTGTAAGCTCTAAATTCCTAAACCCTAAACCCCTATATAAGCCTTAAGCCCTAAATTCCGAAACCGTAAGCCCCTATATGAGCCTTAAGCTTTATATGTTCCTGAACCCTAAACCCATACATAAGCCTTAAATGCTATAAAATTCCTGAACCCTAAACCCTAAATTGCCCTAAATGACAGCGTCTTGTAGATACTTCACCTCAAGGGCTTGAGGGTAGTAATTTTCCAAAATCCTGGCTGCTACTTTATTAAGCATGAAGCCCTAGAAGTCAACACCGGAGTTTAGGGTTTAGGGTTTAGAGTTTAGGGTTGATCTTCCTACACCCTGAAACGAATCCACTCGACTCAGGCGCTACGTCGGGTCTCGCCCGAGATTGTGGTTGTGCGCTCCTCCGTGGTGAAGGAGCCCATGAAACTTAGGGGTACTTAGAAATAGTTTTTAATTTTTGGTTATTATCATCCCTAAGAAACAGCTTAAATTATAAGGTTTGCCAGGGTTCTAAGTTCAGTATAGGAAAGAGTGGCACATGCTGAGTAGGGAACTGCAAAGGCATTTGTTGTTTTAGGGTTTACGGCTTTTTAGGTTTCGAGTTTCGGGTTTTAGGGTGGAGACTGACAGCTTGTTTTTTTCTGGTTGTGGCTTTTGCATTCAATTTTGGCCGATGTGTCTGGGCTGAAGATTTTTGTTTTCTAGAGCCGAGGATGTCATATCTGTTGAGAGTCGGCCAGTGTCTCCAATGCCCAACCCTGAAGGACAAAATGACCCTTAAAAGTAGTGGCCCTATACCCATATACTATGAATCCCTATATGGTATATGAATTAGAAGCTGCCCCCACCCTGTAATAGTGACTATAAGGATTATATTAGGGCCGCCAATATCCCCTAATTAAGGAATATACATTAGATCATATTAGGGCTCCTATTATAATTTAAGGTATATTCCTTAATGAAGGGATATTGGAGTCACTGGGAACCCTGAACTCTAAAACCCTAAACCCGAAGGTCTATAACCCCGAACCCTAGTCCCTGCAGCTTTGCGAGAAGAGCGCAGAAACCCTAGGCATCTGAGGACTCATATATTAAGGGTTTTGGGCCCAAAGCCCATATTATATAAGGCTTTTGGGCTATTTTGATGCCCAGGGAAAGAGGCCATTGCACTTAAAAATCCAAAACCCGTTGGGGCGTTGTCTTGGACGGTGAGGGCTTCGGGGCTACCTGTAGGGTTGTGCTGATTCTGGAGGCGTAGTCTTAGTGTTGCAGGTGCTGTAGTGCCTAAATGGATCAAACTCTACGACTTGCCTAAAACCTTCATTAGGGTTGAGGTTGTAGGGCAATCTCTTCGAAGCCAGGACCTCCTCTTTGCCCTAAGCCCAGCCTTCCATTGCATCCCAACAGCTCCAACAGCAAATCCAGAACCATTGACGGAGTTTACTATAGTGGCCTAACTAATTACCAATACTGTTTTCGGGATTCCTTACAATACTAGGACCCAGAGTAGGCCCTTATGCCCTTTTTTAGGGTTTAGGTTCCCTGCTAACACCCTTTAAACCAAAAAGGGCACCCTTTTCATTCCTAGGTTACTCTTAGGTCTATAGTATGAAACTAAGCTTAGGCCCAGCCTGAGCCAGGAATCCCCCAACCGCAACCTCTAAACCCTAAGTCCCGCAAATCAAGGCGCGACCCCTCAGAGTCCAGCTACCGGGACACTAAGCTACTATATAAACCGACGAATGGGTACCCCAAATAGTAGGATCCTGATTATCAGGGCCCCAAAATAAGGTACTTGTACCCCTAATATTCGGAAACTCCCATATAAAACCGACGAAATAGTACATAGCTACCTGGGCTCCCAGGGACCTTGCCCCCCAAACCCAAAACCCTAAACCCAAAACCCTGAAACGCCGAGCTCTAAGCCCCGAAGCGCCCAAAGCCATCGGCGCCATGGCGCCGAGACGACACAGGGCTCCTGGTCGGGGTTCTGCCCCGGAGGTGACGGGTCCAGGATTTTTGGAAGGGTTGTCTAAAGGTTGCTGAGGATCTTGCAGGGCTCGAACATGAGCTTGTGGGCTGACAGGGTGCAGTTTTCGGAGCTTGGGGTTCAGGGTTTAGGTTTTGGATTCAGGGTTTGCTTAAGAAGGCGCATCACGCAGCCGCCTGGGTGGCAGCACGGTCGCAAGAAGCGACAGAATGTGGCGGGCGTAGAGAGGCCTGAATACCTAGCAACATATTCCTGAATAAGCACATGAGAGGTGTAGAAAGACCGGGAAGCCCATATAGAGAGATACCGGGTGCCAAGCTGACAAACTAGTATTGGTAGAGTCCTTACTGTGAGGCCCCCAAAAGAAGCCCATGTACTTGTCATTAAACTTATCTTTCATGCGAAGTAACATGGGCCTTGATTTGAGCTGCAGGATTGATCTTCATGTGTCCAACCTTCGACAATGTGCGAAACCTTTGACATTAATATGATCCTTAGTCGTGGGCGAGGTATCTCTTGCTATGATCGACCATAAGGGCACAATCTGGGGGATCTTTGGTGGGGGGGTCTTGCTTTCTCATGATGTATTGGGCTTGAGAGCGGCTCAGGACGAATGGTTTAACATTCTCGGATCAAGGTTCGACGGAACTGAGATGCAGGGAGCACCTAACGTAAACTTGCACTGAACCCAGCCCTACGACCCAAAACCATTCAGATATATTGTAATACTGACATGGCTCCTGTGACATAGGAGTTGGTCCTCTCTCTCCATTTATTTAATGTCGATATTGCACCACGGATGTTCAAGAGTCTCATCTCAACCCGAAAGGGACTATGTGTCCATCATTCCCGAGCTCCAGGGTAACCGGTAATAGGGGGCCGGCAGAACTGCTGAAAGTGTCAGCCCAAAGGATGCAGCAATAAATCCTAGACCCTAAGCCCTGAACCCTGAACGCATCACTCTCAGGGCGATGAAGATAGTGGCAGTGGAGACGATGGCGCTCCGAGACGGAAGCGACACATGGGTGTGAATCCCACCATGATGAACCCGGGATTTGGCTGCCCGTCCTCACTCAGAATAGGGCTTACGGTGTCAAAAGTTTAAAAAATGTTTAGGATGGTTTAGAACAGGGTTCCTTCGAAGGTGAGCACAAGAAGCAGGGTAATCAGCACTTTCTTCAAAGGAAGATCATCAGGCCGTAGGGCAAGAATGCCGACGCTTACATATGGGAGTTTCCGAAATTTGGGGACCTCACTATAGTACCCTAAGTAGTCGGATCCTTATTACAAGAACCCCAAAACAAGGTACCCCTAGTATTCGGAAACTCCTAAACCCTAAACCCTTTATAGAACCCTTATAGATCCCTTTAAAGGAACCCTCAAAGCATCCCTTCAAAGGCACCCCTAATTTTCGGAAACTCCCATATTGCTCCCCAGATCCCAAGGTTGAACCTGCAGGTCCTTCCCGAAGCGACTGATGCAGAGGGCAGCGACCAAAGGACCCTTAAAAGTAGGGGCCCTAGACCTATATACTATGAATCCGTATAATGCTAGGCATCTGAGGACTCATTTTTGAAGGCTTTTGGGCCCAAAGACCATATTATATAAGGCTTTTGGGCAATTTTGATGCCCAGGGTAATGGTATATGAACCTTTGACCCATCTAGGGTTCACTTCGTCCTTAAGATCAGCACTTTCCAAAAACCAGGCCTGAGATTCAAGTTTACACCCTCGACCTGTGGTGCTGAACCCTACACCCAAAACCTCGAGACCCGGACCCACCCTAAACCCTAAACCTAAACCGTAAAACCTAAACCCTAAGCCCTTCTAAATCTTGAAATCAGTTTCGTTTTTGGGTGACGTTGCTGTTTTGCTATGCGAGCCTGGACACGAATGAGGTTGTCCCGAAAGCAAACCGTAAACTCCAAGCCCTGTAGACCCTAAGCCCAGGACCCTGAGAATCTAAAACCTTAAACCTTAAGGACTATACACCCTAACCACCTAATCCTAGAACCCGGACCAACTAAGGTGACAGTGCCAGCCATCCGCTTGGATGGTCAGGGGCAGGACCCCGAAGACAAGAACATGTCCCTTCGGAGCCAAATGAAGCTGCTGCGAACTGCCTTGAAGCTTTATACAGACTTTCATTTTTTGTATGATTTCATACTGTTGTAAAGGGCGCTATCGGGATTTCTGGGGTTTTAAACAGGCAGGTTCGGTGCGCGTCCCGCCTTTTGAAATCACGGGTGGGGATGCGGGAACGCTTGACCCTAAACTTGAGCTTCCACATGGTTCTTACGTTCTAGAAGGATTCCTAAGCGCTTCAACGGGGTCAATAACTCTAAATCCTAAACCGTGAATCCTACCTGTAGTCTCCATTGCAGTGCTTGTTTGGGGCTGATTACCTGACAAATCCAAAGATAAAAATCTCTCAAACCAAAATAGGAACTAAAGTGGAGACCATGAAACCCTAACCCCCAAACCTGAAACCAACAAAGGAGCTGCCATGGAGATCCTTAAACCCCAAACCCTTAACGGCCCTTGGCCCTAAAAGCAACAGAGGAACTACAATGGAGACCATTAAAGGAGCCCCTATTATAGAACCCTATAGTACCCATAAAAGGGAGCCTTTTTGTGGAGCCCCTACACCCTAAACCCCAAACCCCAAACCCTAAACCCCCAAACCCTACACCCCCCAACCCTAAACCCCCAAACCCTAAACCCGAAACCCCTAAACCCTTTTTGGGTAAACCCCCGGGCCGGGGCCGGCAGAGCGAAGCAGAGACTTGCAAAGACGGAGCAGGGCACAACCCAAACCATGGGTCCTTGTTCGATAGTCTCCTTAGGAAATTCCTTTTGCAATTTTGGTTCATATAAAACCCTAGAGAATATTAAGCATAGTATTTTCATTATGGTTCTAAGGGGGGTTAGTTAGGATTCAGGGGTTTATGGGGTTTAGGTTTAGGGTTGAGGGCTTAGGACCCTACACCCGTGCTTTCTTGCTCCACGCGTGTATGCACATAATGTGTAAATACATACACTGCATACACAGGTACGCATACAACACATTCACAGGTACATATGTGCATGAGACGGAGCTCTATAGTTTTATTCGCGGTATTGCTGCAACGCCGCCAAAAGTCCTTGTGCCCATTTAGCCCATATTTTGCTTTACCCTACGACCTACGAGCCGAACCTGAGAGGGTCGACATATGCCTTTCGCAAAGCGAATTCCTGATTCCTAAGACTTTAAGGCGGACGGAAAAAGGTGCTCAAACAAAAGAAGAACCTGAAGCCCTGAAGCCTGAACTTGAAACCGAAGCCCGGAGCTCCAAGCCTGAACTCCAAGCCTGAAATCCTCAACTAGGAACTTTGCAAACCATATAATATACAAGCTATAACGGCGCATCCCGAAGTAAAGCTGT